TGCACAATCCCAACCCCCACCTGCCATTGAGAATTGCTGCTTTAGGATGACTCTTCCCGGTTTGCCCAGGACTGAGGAATTTAGCCTGTGGGACTTCCAGCGCTAAAACCAGGGCAGTCCATGCAAACCGGAAAGAGTTGGTCACCCAGCTGTGTCGCTGATGTGTTCTACATCATACTAAAGTTTCAAAGTAAGAAACCAAACGTCTTGAAAAGTCTGTCTTCCACAAAGGCCTTTGGGAAACTTGGTATCATTTCACAGCAGCATGCTTTGCATTATGGTAAAGGCTTTAGGGACAAACGCCCATCTTTTCCCTCAGTGTCTCTAAACCTGGGTCGTGGTGAGAGGGGCCATGGGGAGCTTCGGTCCTGGCCAGCGGACCAGGAGGACATGCTTGGAACCATGCCGCCTTTCTGGGAAGAGAGGTTCTTGTTTGACACCTAGTAGTGCGCTTGAATGACAGACGTCTCCTTAGAACTGTAGGCGGTGTGACAGGATACATCATGAAAGTGACAGCAACAGTGGGGACTAATTTAATTCCATTTTTGCTTGCAGCCCTGATAAATCATTACTGCAGGGAAAACTAAATTTTACTTTCTCAGACCAGAATGATTTGAATAATGATGTGCTCTGGGGAAATTGGGGTCTGAGAGAAGGTCTGTTCATGGGCTTAAAAATATTTAAACTGAAGTATCAGAGAACTCGTCACAGAAGCCTCCTGCGCCTGGCCCGGTAAATGACTCGCACCAGAAGGGCCTCCCTCCCACACTAATTAGAACAGTCGCATAAAATCATACCAACCATCTTGGCTGAAGGATTGTGTTTTTTAGGGTGTCTCACTGGAAAAGGTAATTGACTATAAGGCTGTGTATCCTGCAAGAGCTGGTGAATGAATCAGCTAAAATAAGGATCCTAGACTCTAGAGTCCTGACCATTTACACAAATGGGAACAGTCTCCATGTGAATGGAAAATCGCCAGTGTCTTTCATGTTCCTTCCAGAAAATGATTGCTGCTTAGGAATGTGCTTATGCTGGGAGGCTTATTAAATGATACAGGGAATGAATTGTGGAGGGAGGGAACTTGGGTCTCAGAGGGGCATGCCTGAGGAGCCTAATGGATCTGGGGAGGGGTGCAGTGTAGATAGATCACCGCTCCCAAGGAAGACAGTGAATAGGGGGGGCCCCAGTGCTGGTAGGGAGTCATAGGTGCTTTGTCTAAGCTAAACAATGCCTCGCCTACTTTGGGGACACCCTGCCATCCTCTTGCCTGTGAGTAGAATCCACCCTCCCTATACTAATTGCCATATCGCTCTGGAATCAGGGGCAAAGAGGAGGGAACACAGGGGAAGTTTTGCTTATGACCCACACAGGACATCAGCCCCAGTGTGCTCCCACTTCAAGGACTGAAAGAATAAATCACAGGCAGAAGCTATAAAAACGCCTGTCGGGAAGCAGCCTTCCCTTTGAGCGGTGTGAGTGTAAGGTAAATGAGCAGTTACCGCAGAGATGATTTTCTAGGAGTGAGGCGTTCTGCTTTAGAGCAGCAAGAAGGATGGTTATGTGAATTCTGAAGCTGCTCCGGCTCTCTCTCCACGGCCCACCTGAAGCAGTGGGCTTCGTCACAGTCACCTGGCTCAGGGGAGCTTTCATCTCCCCTTTGTTTTAACCCTGAGAAATGGCCCAGAGCTTTGGGTTAGATCCAACCAGCCAACCATTGAAAATACACATTTGTCTTTTAAAGAGCAAGTCCTGGATACTGTCAGAAACAGGAGAAACAATTTGAGAAGACATTCAAGGTACACAGTATTTTACTGGCCCTGGTTGTCATTGAATTCCATGTCTAGAGGGATTAGGGATTTGGGATTCTGGAAGCGTGATTCTCTCCCCACCCCCTTTCCTAGCTCTATCAGCTTGGAATTTAAAACTGCCTCGTGGTGTTCTTTATTGCCAACATGCAGCCCTGAGGAGCTGCGCGCCTGCATCATCTTGCTGGTCTGATGTACTGCTAGACATCGGCATCCCAGACACCTAGCTGTAGGCACCAGAATAGGAAAGACAGAAAACCCCAGGGTGTACTGCTGAGGGGAAATAAAATCGTGCAGGCATATTTAAGGAATATATAATACTGTATATTTAAATACAATATTTAAGGAATTCTCTAGGCCTGTCCTTTGCTGTGGAATTTGCCTCCGAAGGGAAACAAAACTTAATTAGCCCTTGGTTTACAAAAGGTGTTGGGACCTGTGCGCTTGCGTTTTCTCTGTTTAAAGAATCTGTTTTCTTTACATGCCTGCCTGGGTCCCTGCTCCAGAGGCATCGCTCTGTCATATTTGTTTTGTAAGGCTGCAGCAGCAAATTGCCAAAACTGGGTGGCTGGAAACAATACAAATGTATCCTCTCACTTTTCTGGAAGCCAGAAGTCTAAAACCCAGGCATCAGCAGGGCTGATTCCTTCTCCATCAGCAAGGCTCTGAGGGAGAATCTGTTTCCTGCCTCTCTTTGGACTTGGGGTATGTGCGGCAGTCCTTGGCTTGTAGCTGCATCCCTCCAAACAGTCTCCACCTCCGTCTTCACATGGCCTTCTCAAACCTAGGGAGACTTTGTCTTGCAAAAACTCTATTTTCAAATCAGGTTAAATTCACAGGTTAGGAGGTGGATACGTCCTTGAGGGAAGACGCAGTTAGCCCTATAGTCATGAAGGGGTTATATTATGTTTCTCTTCGCATCTCTGAAGTTGCTACTCTCTGTTGCTTTAGTCCACTTTCAAAAAACATGGCTCATTTGGATTGTTAAGCTGACATCTGGTTTTAACATTTGCGCCCCCCCCCCCATATTGTCGTTTAAACATACCTTCATACTACTTCTCCCGCCCTATCACTCCTAGTAGACAAAGACCAGGCTGGCCAAACACTTTAAACATAGCACCTCCCAGCCACTGAATTCTCATGTCCTTGTAAATCAGATCTAAGAGGACAGGCCTCCAGTCCTATGAGGTACCCCACACTGGGCTGTAACCTTCTGCCTTCACACATTTGAGGAGCAGGTGAATATGCACAGAAAACCATAAACTGCGGGAAGGACCAGAGGGATGAGAAGGGTGGCTGCGGAGAGAAGGGCCGCCTCAGGACTCCTCCGCTCTCTAGCAGTCAATTCATCCAGAAAGACAGGGCAGCACAGCAAGGCACTGACAGACTCTGATGGTCTTTTCTTTTTCTTTCTTTCTTTCCTCTTAGCAAACTGCCGAGTTGGGCCAGAGCTGTTGTTCCCAAAATATTTTATGTTACAGAGAAGGCTTGGAACTATTATCCCTACACAATTACAGGTAAGTCCTTTGTGCAGCCGGTATGTTACATGTAGCACTGAGACATCACATGGTCAGATTTCACTGATTTCAGGTTTGTTATCCCAGCAGAGACATGGGAGACTCGTACCATCCTTTCAAGTCTTCGCTTTTCCAAGAAGGGGGTGGGGGTGTTAAGCTAAGCCATTTCACTTGCCTTCTTAAAGTGATTTCTCAAGTAATTTTGGGGTGTGGTTTATTTTGACTTATTTGCTTTACAGCACCCCCTCTCCCACCCCCCAAAGAACACCTTGGCTATAATTTATGTAAAAGAGTCTGTCAGGTCTCTCTGTCCTAAACTACAGCATAGGACATATCTATGCTGATACTGAACTAGAAACTGTGGCCAGAAAATTTAGAAGGTTTCGTTCCTGCCCTCAAACACATGAAAATTCAAGATCCCACTTCAATATCATCATAACAAGCTCTTCTTATTGGTTCTGAGAGCTGCTTTTCCACTTAAAAGATTGCCTGTGTGGTTAATGAATTGCTCTACTGGAATTATTAGTCTTTAATTTTGCTTTTATAATGCCAACTCTTTGGTTTTTAATTAGCCACAAACCCGTAGGCTAATTGAATTGTCTTACAGTCCTTATCAGACCAACCACCAAAGTACCATATGAAAGAATTTCAAGAGCAAACATGAAGCATTTAATATTTATAAAAGTTTAATTTTGGAAGGTTTCTTTACTACATTTTTAATAATTATAATGCACTAGTATATGTTAGTTCTGTGGTTTTCTATTGCATATAAGTGTGGTCTAAATCATCATTTTTTTCTCTTTTTTCCCCTTTTTTCCAAATGAACATCTGGGACCAGAATACACAGTAAGTTTTATTTAATCATTTTGAAATATTCAGCATATGATCAGTAGATTAATTGGGACTGCCCTTGTATTTCTCATCTTACCAATTTAATAAAAATATAGAGGAATAATTCAGAATCAGAAATATTTAAATGTTGGCTATTACATAGTTATATATAATGCAATAACCTGACTGTTTTCATTTGTTCCAGAATATGAATGTTAACTTAAAATGCCTTGAGAGTTACTTTGCATAATTAACTTTGCTTGCATTTTTAAATAGCTTGGCTGTTCTACTTGTGATAGTTCACTATAACAGAACAGCTTCTAGAAACATGGTATTAAAGAGATGATGCTTGTTATCAATGGAAGGTAGGGTTTATACCTAAAGGGGGTGGCCTTATCCCTTACAGGAGAACCTTGAAACTAGAAAGACGTACATTCAAACTATTTTACTCAGGGCTCTGGATTGGACCGTCTCAGTGGCTTGATAAAAACCATTTAATTTCTTCTTGTTCTAAGAGCCTCTGGAGTCATTATTTCCATTTTTAAAAAAGGACCCTATAACACATTGTGTTGTGGTATTTGCATTGTATCATTTCCCCAGCAGCCAACAGGTCAGACTGTCATAACAAGAAAATGGTAGTAAAAAAAAAAGAAAAAAGAAAAGAAAATGGTTAACTGAACTGTGATGGAGTTGAGTTTTTGGTCTTTTGTGGGTTTTTTTGTTAATCCTCCCCCGAAGATATTTTTTCCATTGATTTTTTTTAGAGAGAGTGAAAGAGAGGGAGGGAAGGAGAGAGAGAGAGAGAGAGAGAGAGAGAGAGATTGA